TCTTCATGGAATATGTCCTGGCCTGGGACATAGTATATAAATCTGGCCTGTTTGAATCTGGAGTTCTAAACATGGCTTCTCCAGATACAGGAGAATCTCCATATTATATGCAAGACCCTTTTTGTTTCTCCTTTCACCCTGCTTTGTGGTGTAGATATATCTATCTATATAATACTAAAAGTCTTTGATTGTGTGCTTGTGTGGTACATTGTCTGTCCAGCACATAATGATTTAAGTTTCTTTCCACCTGTGATTGCGTGTTGTGTCCATCTGGTGCATAATGATTTAAGTTAATCTGACTTAACTGGCTTAAGTGAATAATATCTAAAAATATGAATTTCTGCAGTAGACTGGCTACCAACCAAGGCTACATGACCCAGTCTCTCCTGCTATCTAACTCATAAATTTGCTTTCCAAAGGATATTTGCACATAAGTAAACATAAACTCTGCTGAAATTTGAACTTGGCTCTGATTTCTCATTCTGAGCCATTAGTCACACCACCTGCACATCCAAGCTTACAGCACCTGATATTCTCATATAGTCACCCATCTAGGTACTGACCAGGCTTGATGTTGCTTAAGCCCATGAATCCATTATTATTATTAATATTATTAAAAAGGTGTATCAAATTTGTTTTTTTAACACTGACCTTTACTCTCAATCTTATTTCACGTACACAATGTTTGCTAAATGGAGATCTTAAATAATGGTTGATGTTTCTAAAGGAAATTAAATTCACCTAACAAACTGAAATTTGAACAACAATCTCCAGGAGAGTGATTCGTTCTTGGGCTAACATTTTCTGAAAGGAAATGGAAAGATTATATCGAATCAATTGCTAGATGTACTGCTTGGACGGTTGGTTCAGTGTGTTGTGTTAGATTCTGGCAAACTGTCTCTCTTACACATTTATAAATCTACCATTCACCTTTGCATTGAATATTGCTGCAACATCTGGTTTGGTGCTTCTGCTATGTATTTCAGAATTCTTGATAAAATCTAAAGAAAAATCTGCAGTGTTACAGGTCCTGACCTGGCATCTTGGCTTCAATCACTTTCCCACTGCTGCAACATAGCTTTACTAGACCTTTTCTATAAATATTTTCATGGTAATTGTTCTGATGAGCTTTCTTCTTTAGTCCCTAAGACTTTACAAATTTAAGCACAGTACTAGATTGTCAGCAAGGTTTGGTTTGATTTATTTTGTTTAACGGCATATCAACCTCAATGGGTTATTTAATGCCAACAAAAATTTTTATTGCTGGTAATATTTTGTTTTGTCAAAAATCTGTTTCTGGGAATATATTCCTTCAAAATTGTATTGTTGATAATAATTTTTTTCAAAAAAGTATTGCTAGTAATAGTTAACTATTTGCCCATAGCTGGGACCCTAACAGGTGCTACCACCCCGGGTAAGGATGGACCTGGGAACACCAGCAACTAAGAGGTGGCTCCATGCTCCTCAAAACCTCCTGATCAGAGGCCTTGCTGCTGAATGTAGTTTAATGTCTTACCCAGGACGTAGATGTAGTTTAACGTCTTACCCAGGACAGGATTGGCAGCAACGTCTCAATTTTACGGTGGAAATGGTTAGATAGGTCCAGTGCTAACAGTTTTTTCCCTTTTGCTTTCCAATCAACTTTGATCTTGAAAAACTTGCAATGCAATCAAACTTGCAATGCACTGTCAATCATTATCGTCTGTCTTAATTCCTGTTCTTTTATTGTTCTCTCTTCTTAAGGTTTTTCTTTTTCTCATGTTCTTTCACACTCAGTAACCCCCCACCCCTTGCATCTTAGTGACTTTATTGCTTTGCTTGGAGTAAAATGATAACAAAATTGTATGTTACATATATCTACAAATGGTTGAGAGCATCTTCAACATGAAATCAAATCTCAGAAATTAGGCTCTTTTTACATCAAGCTCTATATTTTCCAATGAATTCCTAAATGACCTCAAAAACTGGTCCAAATTTTGTATTTTTTTTTTTTTTTTTTTTTACTATTGTCTTCTGCAGAGGATTACAGCACAACTCAAATCCCCAAATAATGCCAAACCCTGTCACAGCAATACTGGAGCAGATGGTCATATTTTAAACCTAGCATACTTAGACAGCAATCTTTCATTTAACTAGTAGGACACCATAATTTTCTACTAAAATAGACAGAATGTCTTTTGGATTGTTTAGTGACTTTCTTCAAGTGTTAAATTAATCAATTTCAGGTGGAAACTTGTAAAAATTCAATGTTAAGATCAGAATACTTTTTAACCGTCACTTGTGGTTTTCAAGAGGGTCAAAGGCACTCAAATCTTAATGTTTAATTTCTGAAGATTTTTACCAGAAATTAAAGGATTAATTCAATACATGTTTGATATTTATATAACAGTTGTGTAGTCAGGAAGCAGTCCCTCTCTAATACATGTTTCATTAAAAAGGACCAACAAGGTATTTCTGTTTTAATTGTATTCTTGCATACACACAAAAAGACATAATACGTCCAAAATGGACAGTGATGGTAGAAACTTACCAAATGATTGTCCACTCCAAACACATTTAATTAGTCATTTCCAAGGGGTTTGGTTGTGCTGTTGTGTGCATGTGTGTGTGTGTGGGCGGGAAATGTTCTTAATTTCCAAATATAGCCAGTATATTGTGGCCATGTTCATGGTTTTTTCTTCAATTATTTTTTTTTATACATGCATCTCATTATATTATATATAAAGTTTTAAGGCATGTTATATTTATGGATTAAAGAGCTCAATAGTAGGTATAGAACATATGTAAATATAAAAGTGGACATTGAGGTCAACACTCAGTCTTATGCTTAAGTACAATCTTTATGATTGAAAATTGCATTTAAGAATTAAACACTTGACAGTGGATGTTGACATATATAGTTATATTATATTTAGGCAGCAATCCTTCCTTTTTGCACGTTTCATTAAAAACGATAGACAAGGTACTACAGTTAAGCTTTTTATTTAATTTTTCTTGTGTTCTAACAAGAGCTTTCTTTTCTGGACAAAGGGTGTGTAAGAACTGTCCAAATGTTTTATATTTCTGAGCGCTTTTGGCCATTATCAAGGATGGTTTGTTTTTAATGAAACATGCATATATATATGTGTGTGTGTGTGTGTATGTGCTGTTGGTTTTGATATATGAGGGTGCAGCAGATCAGTTCTTAGCACTGAACAGCCAAACAGCTCACACACAATTTGATTACAGGGTTAAAGTTTTGTGTAGAACCAACTAGACATTGTTGGAAGAGCCAAAAACAAAACTGGTGCACAGTGTGCCACAAGGCCCCAAAACGACCCTACTCAGGTTTTGAATTCAAACCTGTCCTTCTCCTAGACTAGTTACCACCCAAGGCTATAGAACTGTCTGTCCTGCTATTTAGCCATATCTGGGGGGGAGAAGTGAAGGATTCAGACCTTTCCCAAGGGTATTTACATGTAAGTGAATGTAATGAACTTGATTGGAATTCGAAGTAGGCTCTCCAATTTCTCAATCTGAGCCAATATCCATTACTTCATGCTGCCATATATATTTAAATTAGGTCCAAAAATTAGATATCTTGTTCACAGACAGGAGAAAAACTAAAAATGCCTCATTATTCATTTTTAATGAACCTTCCATCAGAGAGAGAGAGAGAGAGAGAGAGAGATGTGTGTGTGTGTGTGTGTGTGTGTGTGTGTGTGTGAATAAAAACAAAAGGAAGACTTATCTTAGCCAACATTTCATCCCCTGAGGGACTTTATCAAGACAAATGCAATGATCTTATTTTGTAAAACATATTTATATACAAGAGCAAAAATGTTATATTCATCAGGTTAGCTGAAAAGTCAGGCAAACTATGGAGGATGTGAAGTGATACAATTCAATATCTAATAAATGAAAGCAAGTAAATGATGTTCTTGAAATTTCTTTTTTGAACATTAATGCTTAAATCATTTCACTTTGGGATTAATTTATGTATTATATATTTTAAATAACATGAGGTTATGAATTTAATAGTTTTTTTGTTTCTTTTTTAACATATAGTCATGTATGTTGGCTTGGGAAAGGAGTAATGCTTGAGAGAATGGAGAAACATTTTTGCTCTTGTATATAAATACTTGTTACAAAATAAAAACCTTGTATTAGCCTAGATAAAGTCTCTCAGAGGATGAGATGCATCAGCTAAGAGAATTTCTGCTTTTCTCTTTATTCATATTGTCCTTTTACAGATATACTATCTGAAATTTTCACATATACAGAGTCCACCATGAAAAATGTAGACCCTTCAGGAAAGGAAAATACTTGTCTTTTGTAGTTTTATGAAATTGCAATAACAGTTTACTGTAGCACAATATTTTCCAGATTTAACACCTGCAGACGTTTACCTATGGTTGTTGTGTATAAACTAACTATACTGGTTGCCCTTTGAAAATGAATTTGCAGAAATCCCACTGACTACAGTGTCCAAGCACTAGTTCATCATGCCTGGAAGCTAAAGACCACCATTTTTAGCATCTGTTGTGATTTTGAGTCCAAAAGCAATTTGTATTAATCTTGCGATATCTAAATAAATTTAGTTTTTCCGTTCCTGAAGTGTGTATACATTTTTGTGTTGACCTCTATACAAGATTATATATATATATATATATATGTGTGTGAGTGAAATATAATCTTGCAACCTAAAAATTATGAGATGTCTTGGTGGAAGCTTTAAATATGCCTGTAAAATGAAATATAATCATCTTAAAAAAAAGGGTTCCTCAATTTAGTTTTCTTTAAGCAAAATATTTAAAATACGTGCAGTAGATGAAGAGCATTCTTGTAGAGTTATATGAGAAGCAAAGATAAGTTTAGGTTTTTTTTTTTCATTGAAAAGATTTTAAAATTCCACATCCTTTTCTCATTCGCAAAATGAAAGTTATAAAACAGTCTCATTCATAAAAAACTTCATTGCCTAAAGTGAGAATGCAAAAAAATTTTTTTTTTTTGCTACTTACCCATTGCAATTTCAAAGATTTCAGATGATTTTTTTGCCATACAGCACTTCTTGTCCACCAAAAATGCAATTAGAATAAGTACAGGGAAAAACAGGAATGTGACTATAGCTTCCCACAATTCTACGATATCTCGTGAACTGACCAGAAGCACAATGCTCAGCCAAACATAAGCAAAGACACAAAAGAATGATGTGATACCAAATACACGCAGGCTTCTGATGCGTCGATCTTCATCGTTTGGTATTGACATAATACACACAGCTGAGATGACAAACAAGTTAAAGGCAGCTGAGCCCACAATTGTGGAAGGACCAAGTTCTCCGGCACAAAAATTGTTTCCCAAAATTTCAATAATAGACAGAAGAATCTCAGGAGCGCTCGTGCCAAGTGCCAATAAACTGAGATTGGCTACTGTGTCATTCCAGACCTGGAAAGAAAAAAAAAAAAAAAAAAAATCAAATTTTAAATTGTGGAATGAATTTGTGGGACTCACCCCCACCTTGTCTAGCAGAATGCATGGTAAGTATCAGGATCAGAAAAATACCTTTACAGTGGCTTTAATGAACAAAGTGGCCTGCGATGGGCTAATGCTAAATAATAAAATACCAAGCCAAAGAAGTTGTTGAAAGAAAAAGTTATCATCCTTCTTAAAAAAAAAAAAAAAAAAAAAAAAATTAACATTAAAAATTATAAATATTCACGAGAATAATAATAATAATAAAAAAACAACAGTCATGTGACTTACTGAGATATCATTAGGTGGAAAAGTGAATTTATGGAAGCAAGCATTTCAGGCTAGTAACAAACCAAACAGACAAGTACAAAAATTCATATTGTTTTTGATACCTAGTCTTTTGCAAGTAGATATTTGTACTAAGAATTTCAAATATATATATATATATATATATATATATATATATATATATACATATATATATATTTTTATATGAAGACTTTTGTGTTTAGTTTGAACCTTTTATATTTATGTTGCCATGTTTTATTTACTTTAAATGAAGTCAAGGTTTCATATCTCCATACAACAAAGTCACAAATATGTATGAAACAGAGTACTAAAGGGAGATAATTACATGAAGAGTTCTAATTAAAGGGAAGTAATATATATGATAATGTTGTTCTAATCAGGAATACAAACAGAACAGGCATAACCATGTTTTTCTCTTTTCTTTGGAATGTGAAAACAACAGTACTTCTTGCTGCTGGGGAGATTTCTTCTTCTCAATAGGTCGTCTTTTAAATTTCAACCAGCCATGTGGCACATCACAGACTATAGCTATAACAGCAACATTTTTTTTTTTTTCTTTTTTTTTTTAATGCACTCTACTTATAAGTATACATGTAAACAGAGCCAGTGTGTACTATCTATGAACCTCCCAACCAGAGGCAGAGGACATCCCAAGCCTGACTGGAGACCCCAAATAGTGTTTTGTGACCCTTTCTATCTTAAAATTTGCTTTTTCTTCCTATGTTTACATGTTACAAATTAAACTAAGCACAACAGACTATAAAAACTTTCAGATTTTGATGTCATTCTAAGGTTTTTCTTTTTGTACATCCAAATCCATGAATTTGTTTTGCTTGAGTTACATCATGGAAAAAAAAACACTTTATAAAATTCACTATTTTTATCCATAATGTTTTAAAATTATTCAAATTTTTAACAAGAAAAAAAATCTCAAGTTTATGTTAAAAATTGCTGTAAAACATTGATTTATTTGAGATGGAAGTTTTATTTAGACAAATTGTATTTATTTTTAATTTTTCTTGTTGAATTATTCACCTATATTGCATACGAAACATTATTGTACATTATTAGGTTACAATAAAATTGTATTTTATATAAATGCTACCTTATGAAAATTGAGATGTAGTAGAATCGACAGGTGTCAGATTCAGAGGGGAGGGGTGTATAAGACCTTTATACGAGCCCTTCATGTAAACAATTTTCTCTTTGGTGAGTTTTGTTGTACTTTATATGAAAGTTTATTTATAAAATCCTTCACATGTCAAAAATCATTTATTCTGAAAAAACCTTTATCTGCATCAGCGAAAAGTCATAACACCTGGTGACCAACTTTGTCCATTTTGAGCAATCCTTGCTACAGTATCCACCTATATTTCTAAGATGAGGTATTGTAATTGTTTACACTATTTACATTGCTGCCATATTCATGGCATTTCAACCGCTGTATACTCTGGTCTTCTTCAGGTATTCAGTTCAAGATTCCAATTGCCTGAAGAAGGCCAGAGTGTACAACGGTAGAAATGTCATGAATATGGTAACAAAGATGAGGACAACAACCCTAACTTTGTTACAAATCCAACAATTTTAATATAATATTTTCCTTCTAAATTCCAATAACTAAACAAAAAGTAAGGAATTTAATAGAATAATATTGGGATTTCGTTCTTTAAAGATCTTGAAAAAGACCAGGTGAGACAACAAGGAATATCGTTTAATATGAAAGAACAGCTGATAATGATGCTTGTACCTGATACTATGTTATCTATGGCTTAAAGACTCTTCAGCAGAAATATATGTTGATTTCAATCCATCTAGGAATTCCTGCAGAACGCTTGCCTACCCACTTTTATAGGCAAAAGCACAAGAGATTTTTTTTTTCTTAGACAATAAATTAGGCTGGTTTGCAGTTTGACATGATTCAGTCCTGATCTGCCTTGTCTAAAAGACAGAGTGCTATGTCCACTTGTCTGAACTTGCTTTCGTGTGTCTACGCCAATTCTCAATTTGTGAACTTTTTGCCTGCTCACTGTTAATTTGCCTTGCATATATTGTTTGTTTGATATTTCATTTTTGCCCTGTTCCTTTTGCTTGCAAACTTCGTTAATTCTGTTCGTTTGACAGATTTCTATTATTTATCTTGCATTTGACAATGGCTACCCACCCCACAATATACAGGGTGTCCATAAAGTTCGTGTGCACTTTAAAAATTTATAACTTTATTTGTATTTGCGATAGAAATAATCTGTAAAAAATGTTATAAAGTTTAATGTCCCTAGTTTTAAGTATAGCTAAAATAACTAATGTGATTTCAGGCATTACTGTAAATCAGTTGGCAAATGTTTTCCGTGAACTGCAAAATCGTATTACCCTTTGTATTGTTAATGATGGAAGACATGTGGAAAGTTAAATAAAATTTCAATAAAACCTTAAAAAAATGTAGATTTATTTTCTAATCCTTTTTACAAATTATTTCTATCACAAATAAAGTTGTAAATTTTTAAAACTGCACACGAACTTTATGGACACCCTGTATATAAAAAAAAAAAAAAAACTTGGAGAAATGACTATGCAAAAAAGAAAAAGAAATGGTTAACCCTAGGTTAAGATTGTAGTGATTGGGGAAGCAGCCTCTTGGGAGTCACTTCATCAAAGCAACGGTTTAAATGGAACTTAACATCTCACCAGAGGGATATGGGAGGAATAGGGATGGTTTACTACAATGTGCATGTCATGGCAGGTCTTAGTTGTAAAGGTTAGGACTGTTGGAACTAAGGAGTGTAGTTCATCTGATCACTCACCATGGAAATAATAATAGAGCAGTGAGAGGCTGGTGACATCTTGTCTGTGATAAAGGGGGTTGCCGAGTAGAAAATAATTAGTTGCATTCAAAGGCACAGAGACGCTTTTAGTGAAAGGTGAAGACAGTAACCCCTGCCCGTATATGGCAGCAGTAATCCATTTTCAGTCTGATATGGCTATTGTAAAGGTAAAAGATAGGAGTGAGGTACAGGGAACTGAACATTTCCTTAGTACCTTTAGCGATGGATCATATGAATTCCACATGAGGTCTTAAAGTCTTAATAGGCACTCAAAGCACAGGGCTTCTCTGAGGGAACATCCGTTCATCATTTTTGTAATGTCAACAAATGCTCATTGTAGGTTTGGTTTATTTTGGCATATTAACCTCAGTGGGTTATTTAATGCCGACAACATTTTTAGGATAGATTGATATGAATAGAACATGTATTCTTTGGATTAGATTGGTTTGGTTTATTTTGTTTTATGGCCTATCAACCTCAATGGGTTATTTAATGCTGCCAACATTTTTTATTGCTGGTAATATTTTGTTTTGTCAAAAATCTGTTTCTGGTAATAATTTTTTTCAAAAAACTATTGTTGGTAAGAGTTAACTATTTGCCCATATATATATATATATATATATATATATATATATATATATATATATATATATATATATACATACATTACATTTTTGTTTTATTCAGAATCTAACCCCACAACAGTTTTTTTTTTTTCTCTCCATGCTGTGTGTAGAAGTTTTAAAAATGCTAGACAACCAGTTATTTTCTTTTTGTATGGATTAAAGTTTGGTTTTGTTTTTTTTCCCAGTTTTTCCACCATTTGTGGGTTATTTAAAGCCCAAGTCTTATTTTGTAATAACATTGATTTTTCAAGATACAAGTCCTACTATTTAACCCATAGATAGGGGAGGGGGCAATATAATTTGCTTTCAACCCCCAACCACCACCATCTACTGAGTAACCAAAAGGTATTTTTTTTTTTTTTTTTTTTACTGAATTTTTTTTTTTAAAACACTTACCTTGACTTCCACCTCATAGAATCCACTAGGTTTCATGTTGTCAGCAATTCGGATCTTTCTGGTTTTGCTGGTGATTCTTTCAATGGAACACATAAATGTATCAGCTATGATGGAAACTCCTAAGAAACTCCATAGCAGTCCAAGAAGGTAAACAAAGACTCGAAATCCAACAGGCCATGAATCCTCATTGAGGATCGGCAAAATGATACCTGCACAGACCTTACTTTCATTTCCACTACTGCGTATACAATAGGGATTCAAATCTGTAGTATTTGAAGTCATATTGAAGACGGGTGTGAGCCGCTCCCAAACTCAAATCAGGGCTTTCTGAAAAAGAAAGAGTTGGTAAATGTCAATTACAATATAGTAACATTTAATTAAAATTTATATGCAACTTAAATCATCATCAATTCCTTGACTGCTTCAATCATTGTGGGGGGGGGTACCTAATGGCAGAAAAAACAGACTACCTCTTCCAGGATGATTCCTTGGCGGTGGGTCTCAGGAGTTCTGGCATTGTCATATTCATCCACACTGATGTCTGAACAGCTGTTGTGTTGCCATTCCTGTTTGCATCCACTTTCAACAGTGCTTTGTATGATAGTTTTTTCAGAGGCTGTTATGCGACGCGGTCAAACCATGACATTTTCCAATACTTAATAGTAGCAAGGAGAGATTCCTGTTGGCTCACAAGACTTTCGACCTTGCTACAGAGCAAGGTCAAAAGTCATTGCAGTCATTGGTTTTGTGTTCCCAGTAGGAAATGTGGAGGAGCTTTCTCAAGCATTTTTTCTCATAACATCTGGACCGTTTCTCTTCCCTCAACTAGGAGTGTCCAAATCTCACACCCATGAAGGTGCATGGATATGACCAGCTATTTGTAGAGCTTGAACTATGTCTGGAAGTGCTTCCATATCCTTTTCAGTCTGGTCAATGCTGCTGTGTGCAGATTTCTACACTGCAGGTGTCATTTTTTGAAACATAATACCCAGAGAGTTTCCTTAAATGGTTCGTTCTGGAAATGACGATAAACTACATCCAGCAGCAAGGCCACTTATTGGGAGATTGAGGGTTCCGAGGCACATAGAACCACTTAATTGCTACTGTTCCCAGGTCCACCCTGACCCAGGGTGGTAGCACCTGTTAGGGTCCCAATTGCCGATAGTGAACCTCCAAAACAAAAAACAGTACTTTTTTTTTTATAAAATGACTAATAATGCATTTTTATAGCAAAATGACAAAGCAACACTAAAAATATAATACATTTTTATCATAAAAGTACCAACAATACATTTCATGATCTACAAAATATATATCTAAAAACATACCTTTACTATACCTGAAAGTAAAAAAATGATGTACAAAATATCTAACTGAAAGCATAAAATTATGTACAAAATATTTACATTTCAGCATTAAATAACCCATAGAGGTGTTGATATGCCGCCAAACAAAATCAACCATCATGAAAGGACTCTTTCATGATATTAGTCCATATAATATCCGACAATTTCTTAAATCAAACTGTATTCCAAAATATAACTTCAATAAAATCACAACATAAGACACACACATCACCGCCTCTAGTAATTATGTCCACACAAATATGTATATACAAAAGCTGAGTCATCAACCATGTCTTTAATTGTGTATCCTTATTTGCCCTAAAAACTGCTTTCTATTTCTGTTTTTTCTAACACAATCAGGGGTAACAAAAAAAAAAAAAAAAAAATGTGTGGGGGGGGGTAGGGTCTGTACACACAAACACATTTACATACTTATTCATAATCTTCAGGCAATAATTCCGGTCAAGTCCCACATTCTCTCATGAATTTAAAAAGAAAAGTTCTGCTGCAAATTTCTCCATGGATAATTACATGTGTATATATATTTACACCAATTTGATTAACGAACTGTTTATTACATTTATTCAGAGCATAAAAGATTCAAATGACAATTTTAATAAAAAGATCATACATAGTTATGCCTATTATAAAAATTTACTTGCCTATCTTTCTGCTTTGAAGTTAAATTTGTTGACCCACATAAATACTAACCATAGACTGTAAAAAATAATCATATGTCAAAAGAATAAAAATAACAAGGAGAAAGAAATATATTTGTATGCAATCAATATTTGGTCAGAAAGAAAGAAAGTGTTGACAGTTTTGGGATAATTTTATGACTTATTCCTGTTATTCTCAGAAATTTATAATCAGAAGGAACTCCTTTGTTTCTAAGTAAAAGTGCATTGTATCTTATTACCTTAGATGAAAATGATAAACAAAAAATTTGGAGGAGGGGGAGGAATGCAGACAGGCAAAAAGCAGGACAAAGTGGCAGATATAGAATTGAAAAATAGCAAGGGAAGAGGTCTATATAAAAAAAAAAATAAATAAATAAAAGAACAGATCGTGGGGATGGGGGCATAAAAGTAGGGGACCTGATATAGAAAAATCAAAAATAAAAACTGGTTAGAGAAGCATATAAAGAAAGAAAACCATATGAAATTTAACTACATGAATTATGTTGTGTAAAGATTGTACTTCTTTTGCTTGTTAACAATTCCTGTCTCATCAATTCCTTCACAACATGTCTGACTTGATACAGTAGTAAGCATCATCTTGTCTAGCTATGCCCTTTTTATGTCTTTATTGACAGTCAAAATTTACATATGTCAAAAGATACTCAGAGATTTATCAATTTTAAATGTAACCCGCGAAGCCACCATTTTTCCTTTTAGGACAGTTTCTGTTTACACTAGCGAGATGTTTGAATCTGTGTTTGCTTCAGGGTGCATGCATTTCTTTTTTTTTTTTTTTTTTTTTTTTAACAGTCAATTTTACACTAGATAAAATAGCTTACCTTTAGGATGAAAACAGTTTTGGAAGGGTCTCACATGTAAAATATCCTGAGAGGAAATATAGTAGTTTCACAAGTCATACATTTAAAATAGATAGATCTTGCAGTCGGAGGGTCTCTTAATATACGTAAATTTGGGCTGTCAGTCAGGCTATAAAAAGTGCATAAAGAGGGAAGAAGTGTGTATGTTCCCAAAGAAAAAAGGCCATGTTCACAAAAAACAATATAATCTACAAAGTGTCCCTAAAGTCTAGACACATAGAAAATCTCATTAACTATATATATATATATATATATATATATATATATTTTTTCCCCCCTCCACACATTAAACATGGTTTTGTTGAAAGTAAGAATTGACTTTTTCCAAGTATGTTAAAAGGGAAGGTGTACTCAATGAAAATCACAGATGCAAGACACTTGATTGAACACATGAAGAATGAATGTGCTAAAATTGATGGCAATGTGGGGTTATTGCATCGAGTTCACGTGAATGTTGCAAAGTGCATCAACTGTTGCATCACAAATGATGGAAATCATATTGAAGATGTTATTTGCTAATTTTCCAATTCAATAAAGTTGTTGAAAATTTCATTTCTTGAAAATATGCATTTTTGCCTAGGGCGTCCAGACTTTAGGAACACTCTCTGGATTATCTTCAGGGTGTCTGTCTTTGTAATAGGTAACTTTGTGGAATTTCAAACAAAATCATTTGTTCTCGTTTCAAAGGTAAATAAGACCAGCGAATAGTAACTGGTTTTGAATTTCCTCTAAGCATGGAATGTGGAAAGTGAACAGTCACCCCTCCCACCATGGATTGAACAAATGATATTTCAAAATCCCTAGAATGCTACCAAATGCAAAGACAGACACCCAAAAACAAGCTGGTCTAAGTAGCAAAACATATATTGGGTTGGAACAAAAGGTTATAGTATTTTTGTTTGTTTAATGGCATATCAACATCCTTATGGGTCATTAAATGCCACAATTTAATTATTGTGGGAACGTTAATAATTTATTTTACAAAAATGTACGATTGGTAATCTTTTTTACTATGAAAATCTATTGGTATTTTTACTATATAAAAAAAAAATGTACTTTTATGCTTTTGTGTTTGTTTTGTTGGGGGGGGAGTTCATTATTTGCCCATAGCTAGGACCCCTAACAGGTGCTACCACCTCAGGTCATTTGTTATTGCTTTGCTCCTTGTATTACAGATTCCCATAATTTATTCATTTGTATGCTTGGCCAACTCAGGAGAGTTTTGTGGCTTAACATATGCTTCTAGATATAGTCGCAGGTGGGCAAGGTGTCCCCCACTGGGGCATGTTCATTTTCATTGTCCTCAAGCTAACTGAACTCTTGCACATACAGTCATGTTTCTCAGACAAATTCTTACAGCTAATTTCAATATTCTTTCATTTCAGTTGTGTACACACGCAGTTACTTTTATTAATACATGCATACAATTGCTGTTTGTTTTAAATTCATTATTTTATGTTACTCATTTATACCCAGACACGCACAAGTCCGCCAATATTATTTGCAGGACAAATGTTCTAGGAGGTCATAAATATTTACTATGAAACGTTCACACACTTATAGAAACAGTGTGAAATTACACAGCAACATTGGTGACTATTTTTTTACAGAAATATAATAATCCTCAGATGTTCTCTTATTTTAACTTCATCCCATAGAGGGCAGCGATCTCTCCTTTCTCTCCATATATGGTCAGCCATGCCTGATTTTTTTCCCTTGTTATGGCTTTACATTGCTCCTGCAGTTGTGAATGTGACAGTAAAGAACAATATAAATAATGTAAATAAATTACAATATCTCACATCAGAAATATAAACAGATACTGACGAAACTGGAGCGTACAACGACCAGAACATTGTGAATATGCCAACAAAGATAAGGACATTATTTACATTATTCGGACTATTGTCCTCATCCTTGTCGCCATATTTATCACACTGTTTCGGCTGTTGTACGCCCTGGCCTTCTTCAGGTGGTTGGAATGTCGAACTGAACCCTTTATTTCGCTCACTGGGGTAGACTGTTCTAGTTCCATGTGCCATGTTTGATGGATGTCAGCTATCAGTTATCTCCTGTTAATTTTCCCTCTGAAAGTTCTCCACTGCCTTAACCGGGTATTAAACTCACACTCT